TATGATAAAGGACAGTTATTGATGTTCAAAAATGTGAGCCCATTTCCAGCTTGTCTAAAGGTCAGAGAGTTTCAGCTTGTTCAAAGTTGTTGTCAAGGGTGGATAGACACTCTGACCTAGGGCGAGATTGCTTATAGGAGAATGAGAATAAAGTAGTCCCACACCAGCTCAGAACTCAGCATAATAAAGCATTCTTTATATAGGTGGGGACTCACAAATCATAATCCTCTGCATGATTAGGGGACAGGAACTGAATCCATTAGCCAGGCGAGAGTGGAGAGAGAGAGAAAGAGAGTGGACACACGAGTGTGCATGTTTTTGTTACCCAAGGAAGTCAGATTCCCCTGGGGAGAAGGGATGATCCTGGGTCTCCAGCCCTTTCCTCCTTTCTGTATCACTACATAGCCAAGAGTTCCTGATAGAGTGAATTACCTTGTGTCATTGGTCCAAAAGCAGCAGGCAAACTGTTGAACAAAAACTATAAAATTGTAGAGCCCAGATAAACCCTTCCTCTATTCAAGGTGATTATCCCAGGTATGTCATCACACAAGGGAACTCTGGTGAATCCCATCAGCATCTTGATACACAAATCCTACTTACACAGCCTCAGCCTCCTTACTGACTACTGACATCAGTGGAATTGTTTTGAGCCAGTCAGTGCATTGCACTGAAGAACCATAGAATTCAGTAGTACAGAATCTGTACTGTGTCGGTGGGCCCTGAATGTGGGAATATTTATAATTACAGGGACAACTGGGTACATGTGGTGAGAACCAAACTGTAGGGAGGTGACCCAGATAATGATGGTAATTATCAAAATGACCATCAGTCGAACCATTATCCTACAATGATAAACAACTCACATGTAGTAAAGGGAACAGGAAAAAAAATAGATTTTTCAAAAACAGAATTAGAGCACCAGACAGCTGAACTTAGTGAAACTCAACAGAACCCAAAGACTTGCCATTTGATTTCCAACTCACCCACAATCTAGATGTGTGACTATAAAGAAATAAACACTTCTGGAGCAGAGGCTCCCCACTGAAAGTATTTTCTAGGAACGCTGTCAACGACATGAAGAGCTATGAAAATGTGAACTGTGATATCAGAAGCTGCAGCCAGAGAGAGGAGAGGAAATCAGTGTTGCTCAGACCATGGAGAAGCAGAAAGGAGAAGGGAGGGGCACAGTCATCATAGAGAACAGGAAAGGAACAGGAATCAGAATGGCCATCAAAGAGAGCCAATAGGAACAGGAAGGGGCGTGGTCAGCATAGAGAACAGGAAAAGAACAGGAGGGCTAGCAGACAGTGCAACCAGGTCAATGAGAAAGATACTGGACCTGGTGTTCACAGCTACAGCAAAACCTTGGGTTCCCCTTGTTCTCTGAAGAACAGCTAGTCTGATGAGCTCAGAGCCTATCACAAATGAAACATGATGTCTCTCCCACCTCAACCATGAAGACAGCAGGCCTAGCGACTTCACTTAGATGTCCACCCAGATACAGGTGTTAGAATCCATCTGAGAAGGAACATGGGACTCTAACTCTATTCTATGAGTAGTCAGGAGTTTGCAGAGAAGCTGTGCCAGGTTGGTGAGGGTACTGAAGACTGGGTGACCTCAGGGTGACCTCTGTGTGAACAGTCTGAAACCTGTTACAGAATGCCCTGCACCTCTATGTTACATTCCTCTTCTTTCCTGGACTTTGGTGAAGTCCATTCAAGGCATCAAAGCATGGCCATCTCTTCTTGAATGTGTGCAATGTGTATGGGCACAAGTATTTCCAGAGAGCTACAGTGGCAATAACAGTGTGTGATTGCCATCAAGAAAGTGAATCTGGAAGGAGGAGGCAAAATTCTGACATCTAGTCTCTCCCCTGTGCCCACCTCAAGTCAGCTATGTTCAGTTTTACTTAAGAAGGTGGGTTCTAGGGTCGTAGAGATGACTCCATGGTTAAGAGCACTAGCTGCTCTTCCATAATACCCCAATTCTGTTACAAGCTCCCACATAATGGCCTATGACATCTGTACGTTCAGTTCCTGGGAATCTGATGCCCTCTTTTGGCCTCTGCAAGCACTGCATCCATGTGGTATACAGACATATAAAAAGCAAATACCCATAAACATACAATAAAAATAAATCTTTGTGTATGTGTGTGTGGTTTTTACAGACAAGATTTCTCTGTGTAACAGTTCTTGCTGTCCTGGCATTTGCTTTGTAGACCAGGCTGACTTTCAACTCACAGAGATCTGTGTGCCTCTGCTTCTTTAGTGCTGGACCCCACCACTTCCCTGTCAAATCTTTTTTTTTTTTAATAATATGAGTTCCCTTACTTCAAGAATACCTAGGACCTCACTTAATAAACAGGTGACCATTTAGGACTAGAATGTATGATAAAGTGTGCCCATAGAAATGAGGTTACAGTGATTTGAGTTTAAGTCTGAGAGACTATCTTAATGTCCTAAGGGGGGGGGGGGGAATTAACGACCTACATACTCAACAGTATATGAATCCAGTAGACCTACAAAGATGAGATCGCCCTATTGGTACCGGTATACACTAATTTCTATTTACCTTAATGTACTGGAAAATTCAGTAGGACTGTGGAGCTATTGTAGATTTATATGAATTCATGCCTGCTCATGGTACATCTGGGATGGAGGGTGGGGCCTCTACAGGAAAGGAAAGCTGCTGCCCTAGGACTGCAGGGTAAATCTGCTAGGAAATTCCAGCTGCCTTGCTGCTGAGGAAGTGGGGCCTCAAACAGGAAACAGAAAGTGAATGGAAGTTCTGGTCACCCCAAAGCCTGGCCTGCAACAAAGTTCCATTTTAATGCTCTGAGTCATCTGTGTTGGGAGTGAATGAGAGAGATCAGCTGAACCACCTGGGAGAAGAGGGTGCTGTGGACTGGGAGCCCCTGAGTGAGAAAGCTGAGCTGGGGTGTGAGCCCAGCCTTCACCTCAGCTGCCCAGGGCCTGCTGGGAAGGCTACAGCTGGGATTGCATCCTCACAACCATACTTTCCTGTGCTGTGTATGTCACTAAACTACCAGTATCTTAGAGATCTCCATTTTGCTGGTTTGAGATTCTCAATAAACAACAGAGAGTTTTCAGACTTCAGCACATCCCGATCACTTTAGAGGGCTGGTGGCAAATGCTTCCCCACTCACCCACATTATCTGTACTAAAGTGTCTTGAATAGAGCTGGGCTGGGTCTAGTTTCCCCACCCTCTTTGTGACCAGGATGCAGTAATCTGTACCCCTAACATGTGACCAGCATTTGGAGACAGCTCAAGAGAAGAACACACTCCATAAGGGTTGTGTCTACTGGAGTAGTGACAGCTGGGATCAAACTGGGAACCCTATAACCCTCTGAGGTGGTTCTCAACCTGTGGGTCGTGACCCCTTTGAGGGTCAAAAAGTCCTTTCACAGGGGTCACTTGAGACCATCAGAGACAGAGATACCCACATTACAATTCATAGCATTAGCAGAATTACAGCTATGAAGTAGCAACAAAAATAATCTTATGTCGGAGTCACCACCGTTTGCATTATAGGGTTGTAGCAGTAGGAAGGTTGAGAACCACTGCTCTAGGAAAAGAGAAAATGAGAAAACAGGTTCTGCTACCTGCTGTCTGTGGAGCACGCCCTTGTGAAATCAAACCTAGGACAACAAGGTTTTGCTTTCTGGAGGGAGTCAGCGCCCTGCAGGCCTCTCCTGCTTTTTGCCAGGCTTTCTGAAAACCTGTGTCTACACCCTCTACACTCATATCTTTCTTTCATTTTTTTTCTTGAATCCCTGTTGTGCCATTATCTTGCCTACAACCTGACTTCCTCTGCCTACCTGCCCTTCCTCTCCCCTAAATGTTTCTCCAAATCCAAGGAGAAGGAGGAATTGTCTGCATTCTGAGGATGACCCTGGTCTACAAAATCTCAGGTAGAAACTAATGGTTGCCTTCCAGAAGCCACAGGTCTGGGGCTTCCAATCACCCACCTAAGCAAACAAGGCTGGGCTTTCCTTGCAGATTGAGGATAGGAGTCGAGAACATTCAACTGCTTAACTGTTCTGGAACCTTTCAGCAAAGAGGAACCCCCTACCTTACCCTCCACACCTACCCCCACCCAGGCTCAAAGATCACAGCCACTTCAGGCCACCCTGGGGCAGCTGAAGGACAAAGCAGGAACTTTGGCCAGACTGTGGCACAAGAGTTCCTGGGCTTTTCCCTTCTCAGGCTAATCTCCAAAGACACTCCTCCCAGCTAGAACCCTTGGTGCTAGCTGACCCACAACTCCTCAAGACTCTTAATTCTTTAACTGCACTAGTTGAATAATAGAAACAGGAAAGTTAAGAAAAAAAGCAAGGAAGAAAGGAAGGAAGGAAGGAAGGAAGGAAGGAAGGAGAGTAGGAGGGAAAGAAGGAAGAAAAGAAGGAAGAGAGAAAGAGAGAAAGATAAAAGAAAGATGGGAAGAAAGAAAAAGAAAGAAGAAAGGAAGGAAGGAGAGTAGGAGAGAGAGAAGGAAGGAAGAAGAGAGAAAGAGAGAGAGTAAAAGAAAGAAGGAAGGAAAGAAAGGTAAGAGAGAGGGAAGGAGGGAAGAAAGGAAGACAGAGAAAGAAAGAAGGAAAACAGAGAAAGAAGCAAGGGAAGGAAGGAAAGAAGGGAGGGAGGGAGGGAGGGAGGGAGGGAGGGAGGAAGGAAGGGCAGGAGGGAAAAAGAAAAATTAAATAAAGGGAAGCTTCAGAGCACCAGGAAGCTCCTGGAAGAGCAAGGGAAAGTGCCACTCCAGGATGTGCTACTCCAGGATGCACCTGCTGCCCAGATTCTGCCTCCCTCTGCCACCGCCCCCCCCCCCCCCAGAATCTCCTGCTCCCAAGGGGCTGCTCCGAGTTCTGGGCCTGCCACCAGTAGCCCCAAACACCTTGGCTTTTGGGCCCCTCATCTTCCCAGGAAAAGTACATCAAGAAACTCTCCATGCTCCAATGCAGGGGAATGACCTTGTACTCACCTCCACTGGACTTCTTCTGGCTCTGGAAGTTCATTTGCAACTTGTTGAGTAAGGTCTTCAGTCGGGGGTGGGGGGTGAGGGATGATGTCAAAGCCTTAAGATCTCTTGACCAGCAACAGGAAAGGCCTGGATGCAGCTATCCTGGCTGGCCTGGGAAGCTCCGACTGCAGGGTACCCCCAAATCTGCAGAGACTTTTATCTGAGTTAACTTCTCTTTCGCTATCATTTCCTGGATATTCCTCCACGCCCTTACTTTTTATTTTCACCTAGCTGTGTCCGGAATGGAATAATGCAAAGCCCCACCCCCACACACACCCAAGAACCCCAGGTACACCCAGTCCCCGGTTTCGGTTTCTTCTCCCTCACTCAGCAGAAGTGAGTAAGCCCATAGGAGCTGTCAGTTCCCAGGACTCTGGTCACCAGTGCACCTTGCATAGTATCTCCCTAGTTGGGTTCCTCCTGCACTTCACCCCAGCCACAGCTAAGGTTTGATCCATACCAAGGTTAACTTCAGTATACCCCAAACCCACATTGTATGAGAGAAGAAAGGGGGCTCACAAATATACCTCTCGGGATTCTCCCTGATCACTTGGGGACCATGCATCAGAATTTGACCTGCCTTTTTCTTGCTTCTGAATTCTGTTTTCTCATCCCTGAACACTGTGTCTACAAACTCCCAGTTTTGAGGAACATGGCTAGACACCAATCATGCTTTCTGGGGTGTACAACTGAGGGACTCAGATGTGGGGACACAGGAGATAAAACAGTAAATTGTTGTTGCAGGAGAAGGAGAGCAGGGGCTTGCAGCCTAATTATGGGAAGGACAGAAGAGCTTATGGGCAGGTGACATGGGACATGTGAACCCTAAGGACTATGGAGAAAGGGCCTTAGAGGATTGGGGGAGGGGGGCTCTGGGAGGTGACTCACAGGCACAAAATCACTAGGGCTGCTGCATGGTGCTATAGTGGACTTAGAAAGAAGGCTGCCGACCTGCACACTGCAGAGAGGCCTGGAGGAAACATGAGCTCTGAGCTGCCACTGAAGGCAGCATTTGCTGAAGGGTATGAAAAGTTCAGCCTGGAGTGGGGCAAGAGACTGGATCCTAGTGCAGGAGTGAAGAGGGCTGACTGGGGCAGGGGTGAGAAGGGCTGGGACCCTGTGTATCCTCAACATGTGTGAGCATATGTGTGAGACAGTTAGAGGCTTTGCCACTCCAGGGTTAGGTGTGCTGGCCCTCTGTGGGCTCTAGCAGCCCAGTCTGATGAAAAGGGAGAGGGAAGGGTGTCTGAAGAGGCCTGAAGTCTGACAAAAGGAAGGAAGTAGAAGCTGTAAACCTAGCCAGACCTTCCCAGAAGGTGACTGAACAGCAAGATGGGGAGTCGGGCTGTGGTTGGGGATGGGAGTTTGGGTCCAGAATGTCTTTATTTTTGTTTCTTGGATTTAAATATTTTGAAGATAGAAAAGTCCTAGGTATGTGTAAATGTTAATATTGGTGGCACCAGCCATGATGTCCTCAGGTGCCAACATCAAAGCATCATGAATAAATACAGGGGCTTGGATGAAGATCTAGGTGTTTTCTACTGATGGGTCCCATTTCTCTGTGGATTGCAATTCAACAGGTCCCACAACTCAGTGTGAAGCTTGTGAAGATCTTGGTAACACCAAAATGTTTCTGAAAGCACAATGACCAAAAACTAATTCAAAAACAACTGAATAACTCATCATTGTTTCTGCCCAACTTCCCCAGTATTGTCTCCTGACATCACTGCAACCTTGTTTTGAGCACACATGCACACTTTGCATAGGAGGCCTTCACACTAGACTATACCAGTAAACACTCTGAAACACGCACGTCAAATGAGAGACTGTGATATGATATGGATTGCAGTTTTTATTGTATATAAAGTTTCTGTTCTTACAGAAACATGTCTTAGTAATAGAAAACAGACTTTGAATGTGTAACTGCTGTCGTTCTTCAGCATGTTATTAACAAATTAGTCTGTCTCTGGATTGTATCATGTTAGAATGCTTAGTTTTAAAAATTGCTATTTTGGGGTTGGAGAAGCATCTCAGCAGTTAAGAGAAATGACTGCTTTTCCAAAGGACACAGGTTGGAATCCAGAACTTGCATGGCAGCTCATAGCCTCCTGTAACTCCAGGTCCAAGAAATCTAATACACTGACACACTTGCAGGTAAAACACTATAAATTAAAAATAAATAAAATAAAATTTCTTTCGATGATTTTGGCTTGGGAATTAAGACAGAATTTCCTACTATTTCTGAAATGGTCCTTAACATTTGTTTGCCATTTTACATTGTGTATTTAATTCAAAACAGGGTTCTCAGCACCAACAACAGAGAAACAAAAAATATTCATGAAGTCTGGAAAAAATTGAAAGTTTCCATGTACTGTAGTAGCAAATATTCAACAAGATTTAGTACTTTATGAAAATAACAAACACATTTTTTGCAATATACAAAATGACTTCCATTTTTAGTAAATGATAAAAGCAAATGTGAACTCAATGATTGTCTAAAAATAACTTTCTTTATGAGTTATTATCAGTAAGTACTTGGTTTATATAGACATTTTTGTATGCCTGGGTACCTGAGGCTGCACTGAAGTTCGTCAGCTGTCAGCAGTAGAAGAAAAAGTCCTATCTCAGCGTCTGTCAAGTTCAGAGATGCTTTGGAGGAAGAGAGACTTCTCATATTGTTAATTAATCCCAAAGAACTGAAACAGTGTAGAGACGGACAGAGACCCACAGAGGAGCATTTACTGTTCTGTGTTTTGTTTTGTTTTCCTAATCTTTAATAGAGCAGAACAGTGCCCAGGAGTCCTTCTCCAGGTTTCAGTATTCTGCTTGTAGATGCTGCTCATCAGTTTATCCAAACAGCTCTGGACCCCGGTGTAGAGAACACAGCATGGCGGATTAGAGTATAGTCTCTCACAGACTTTGTCTCTGGCTAACCCAAACCATGAAGAAAACCAGCAACCTCTATTGTAATAGGAGCGGTGGGGCGCTTCCCACAGCCTGACTCCCAGCTGCCTGACTAGCTAGCTTATACTCCAAAATAACAACACACAAATTGTATTCATTTAAACACTACCTGGCCCATTATATTTAGCGTCTTCTTGGCTAACTCTCACATTTTAATTAACCCTTTTCTAATAATCTGTATATCAACACATGACTGTGACTTACCAGGATGAGTCTAACCTACATCCGTCTCAGAGAGGAGAGTCATGGCGTCTGCCTCACTGCCTTCTTCCCAGCATTCTGTTCTGTCTACTCTGCTTATCTAATTTTTTGTCCAATCAAAAGGCCAAGACAGTTTCTTTATTTTACCAATGAAAGTAACAGATAAACAGAAGGCCCTCCTACTCCATTTCCCCTTTTCCTGTTCAAACAAAAAAGAAAGGCTTTCACTTTAACACAGTAAAATTACATATAACAAAACAATTATCAAGCAAGAATTACAGTTACAATATTTATATCTATTTTATCTTTTATCAAGCCTAAGAAAAACTATAACTATCTATCTATTCTTCAACTCCATCAAAGACTCCAGAAGGATATAATATTACCTAAGTAAGCAAGAAGTAAGCAACTTCCAAAACTCTAGAAATGACAGAGACATCTCACTGCCTGGATAGTCACCCAAATTTTTCTATACTTTTGAGGCATCCATCTTCAGCCTACAGGCCCATAGCTTCCAGCAGACATTTCCATGAAGCAGGAAGTTTCAAAGGCAGTTCAGTCACTATCTGCTGTGTCCTGCAGACTCTTTCATGAATCAGGAACCCCAAAAGACCATCTCACCTTTAGGCAAGTTCAACAGTCCTCTACTTGTGGGTCTCTGTGTCCAGTTTATTTAACAGTCCAGGCAAGAGCAGTTTCTTGCCCAAATGGCTAACAAACTCCATAAGGAGTCTCTTCGATGTCCATCTTCCTCTTAAAGTAGATGGTGCTGCCAGGAGCAGACGTGTCTCATTGTCATGAAAAGCCCTAGTTATTGAAACATTTAAAATGCCATATTCTGTAGTCTTTGAAAGATATGAAGAATGCCTATTTAACTGAAATATATCTCTATATATCTAGAAAATCCAACTAATATGGCTACAAGCTTGACTATCATTGACAATTATCCATTAACAACCTATATTTCTTAAATATACATTACATTTTTAAATAAACTACACAATCACAATGCCTTAATCAATATCAGAAATACAGATACATATAACAAAATTGAACTTCAAATCCATACCAATGTAAATTATTCATATCTATAACATATCCCCCTTTAAATGTAAAAGAACATTTATAAATAATATCTGGGAATATGGACATAGTTATTTCTCTCCAAACTTCTTCCTACTGTATAGAGGCACTGGTAATCACGTCTTTCATGGTATAACCTGTGTGCTAGTATCATCTCAGTCATCAGTTGAGTGAAATAATTTTTTGAGGGTATTCACAGCAACCTTTCAGGAGGGTGTGGTCTATCATACCATATTGGGATAGAAGCAATCCACAGGGTCTCATCCTCTGTGAAAACAAAAGAAGAACCTCTTTTCCAAAGTATAATGTTCTTAGATCCAAATTCTGAAGTCAAGATAGCTTTATAATATATGTCCTGGTTTATCTTAGCAGCCCACATAATGAGATATGCTTCTATACTTAAGTCCTTTACAATCAAAAAATTGAAAGAAAATACAATATACAGAATCCAAACTCTCTGTGAATTTTCCATTTTTATGGGGCTTATTTTTACTCTATCACTTTATTTTATTCTGTCTCCTTAAAGACTTTACCCTTTTTTAAGGCATTAACTTTATTCTCTATATTCTTTTTCTTCTCTCTCCCAAGCCTATGTATGTCTAACACTATGACCCATTTAGAGGTCTTTTATGTCTGAATCTGTTCTATTACATTGTCTGTAATTTTTTTACTATCCAGGAGCATTTTTGCTTTGTAGTTTTAAATCACTAAGTGCTTAAGAATCTAAGCTGTGACTTTCCTAGGTCAAAAACAGGTACTGCGGGCTTGCCCCACCCAGTACAATATGGCTGAGCTGCTTGTCACTCTGAATCAGTTGCGTCTCGGAGCAGCAAGCTGTTTTGGATGTTGGCTTCACCTCTCTTCAATTTCAAAATGGAGGACATACCATTTTCTGCTAGCTTTGAGGACACCAGGTAGAAGCCGCACTCAGCACTTTAACTC